GCTCCAGGAGGTCTGAGGTAGGGGAAGAGAGACTCTTTGTCTGACCGCCACACCCGTCTCTGACCAGTGCGTACTGCGGTGGGCTGTGGCTGGCAGCGGTGGCTGTGATGGTCCAGATGGCTGTTCTATGTGGAGCGCAGGACACCCGGAAGCAGTTTGCTGCCATCCTCAGCCGGGGTCAAGAAGCCTATGAGCGGCTGCTGTGGAATGGTAAGAGCGTCTGCTGCAGAGAGCTGGCTGGAGGGGCCGGAGGTATTTTAAAGCAGCCCTGCTGTAGTGGTTATGTGTCAGCTACATTCCGCATGGTCAGCAGCAGCAGCTGGGCAGGAGAAAGACCAGGCTTCCTACTCCAGTAATCAGTTACAGTCTCCGAAACCCACAAGGGGTCGCTATGAATCAGCATTATTCGATGGCAGTGAGTCTGGTTTGGGGTTTTTTTGGGGGCACAGAAGCACTCTGGCCATATTGTGGGTTAAGCCAATCATAAAGCTGGTGGTTCAAACCCACCAGCCTTTCAGCAGAAAATGAGGCCGGCTGCTCCCATATAAGGTGCATGGTCCGGGGGCCTGAGGCAATTGGGGGGGGCCCGAGGGGAGCCCTGTTCCACCCTTGCTCTGCTCGCTTCAGGCCGCTACTACAACTACGACAGCAGCTCACAGGCTCAGTCCCGGAGCATCATGTCTGACCAGTGTGCTGGCCAGTGGTTCCTGAGGGCCTGTGGCCTGGGAGAAGGAGACACGGAGGTGAGAGCCTAGCCAGAGGAGCCTGGGAGGAGGTTCTCCCAGCAGGGGGAAATCCAGGATTAAGGGACCCCGTTTCTGCCCTTGCCCCGCCAGGTATTTCCTACCCCACATGTGGTCCAGGCTCTGCGTACCATCTTCGAGTTCAATGTCCAGGCCTTTGCTGGAGGCGCCATGGGGGCTGTGAACGGCATGCAGCCCCACGGCGTCCCTGATACCACCAGCATCCAGTCCGATGAAGTCTGGGTGGGTGTGGTCTACGGGCTGGCTGCCACCATGATCCAGGAGGTAATGCCTTCCCCTCCCCACCTCCACCCTGGCTTCTGCACGATCTGGATTGGCATTTTGGTTATTGATGATCTTTCTCATGATCTGGGAGCTCCCTGAGGGCAGAGGGCCTTGTCTCTTATCTGTCCAGCTAAAGTGAGTGTCCCAGGGAAGCCAAAATGTAAGACTTTAATCTCTGCCCCTAGGGACTGACCACGGAGGGCTTCCGGACAGCAGAAGGCTGCTACCGCACAGTGTGGGAACGCCTGGGCCTGGCCTTCCAGACTCCTGAGGCCTACTGCAAGCACCGAGTGTTCCGCTCTCTGGCTTACATGCGACCCCTGAGCATCTGGGCCATGCAGCTGGCTCTGCAGCAGCAGCAGGGTAAAAAAGGCTCTGATCCAGGAACCCAACAGAACCCAGGACTAAGCCCAAGGCCTCTATCCAGCCCAGAGGATGCCCCAGAAGGCCCCAAGTGAGCCCTGTGACTGGGAGGAAGGAGCCACCAGCCCAGCTTCCCCTCAGATCTCTCCTGCAACCCTGAGCCACCAGGACAATCACACTCCCTCCCTACCACCCAGCCATGCCAGTAATGAGGGGTCGGGGATGACCCAGGCATCAGAATAATTTATTTATTTCCCTTCCCCCACCCCCACCCCCCCCTCGCTGCATGAAATGTTCGAGGAGGGTCCACTGAGTCCACCAGACAGGATGATAGGAACACATCAAATTAAAAGTTCCAGAAAGCCAGTGAGTCTGGTGTGTTTGCGCCTCAGGCTTCCTGGCCCCACCTGCTCAGGGTCCTTTGGACTTAGACACAGATGGGGCTCCTGTGCAGGCACTCCACAGCCTCACCCTAGCCTGCAGATGTGACCTGCAGGAGGACAGAGATGGGGCTATGGGCAGGGAGCCATCCCCGCTCTCTGGTGAGATTCACCTGCAGGAGGAGGATGGGCTTTAGGCAGGAGTGCACTGAGAAGAGGTCAGGGAAGCTCGGCTTTAGGGGAGGCTCTGCACGGGGAAACTGAGGCACTCGACATGAGCAGCAGCAAGAGTTGCCAGGGGCCTGGAGGAGGTGGCCTGAGCTGCCCGACCACTGGTTTCTGCGGTCCTCTGGGCCTTCTGACGGCAGCGCCAGCAGCTCCAGCTGGGGATGTTCCTCACTGGGGAGGGACCGAAGCTGGCGGGACAGCACTGAGGAGACAAAGATGATCTTCAAGGGCAGGCCAGGGCCTCTCCGGAGCCCGGGCCTGGATGACTGATGGCCTCAAGTCTCTCACCTCCGTGCTGGGCTGGCTGGCTCCCCTTTACCTCGGAGGAGTACATCGCCGGGGTGAGGAGGAGGCAGAAGGAGAAGAGGAGGACCTGGAGCACAGAGAAAAGGGAGGAAGGAAGGGGCTCTGGCTTGCACCCTGGCCCCACCCCGAGGAAAGGCTTCTCCCTCCACCAGGACCCAGCCTCACCAGCACACAGGTGCTACTGCTGGCGCTTTGGGTTGATATCTGTATCACCATGGCCTGGAGTTTCCTCAGCTGACCCAGAAGGGACCTGGCAGAAGAAAAGGAGCAGTGAGCAGATGCTGGCCTGGCAATTGGGGGTGGGGAGGTTACCCCCGGGCCCTGGACCATCTTGTTCCTCTCCTGTTTCTGCCACTGACCTTCTCTGCAGCTGAAATGCTTAGAGAACTGCATTCAAAACAGACAGCCTCTTGGCCTGAACAAACTCCCTTCGCAAATAGCGTCACCAGTTCGGTCTAACCAGCAATGTGTGTAGTCCTCCCAGGCATTCACCCGCTCCCTGCCCTCTCCCTCTGCCCCAGCTCACCTGCGTCCACGATCCACCAAACCACCGACAGCCTTGTGTCCTCTCTCTGCTTGAAATGCTTTCTTCAGCCTTGGAATCCTAGCAGCTATCAAATGGTGTCTGATAGCGCGCATGATAGCGCGCACACACCTACCCTCCCCACGTCTTTCTGGCTCTCCCTGCTCTTGCTGGGTACTGGAGGGTTTTGGGTGGACTGACTTGGCCTGTACTACGAGCTTCCATGGCTCAGAAACACAGTGAAGGCTAAGCTCCAGACTGGTCTACGGGTGATGCCCAGTTTGAAGTCAAATGAAGAACAAGGCAAGGAGTGGGAACCTGGAGGGGGGTGAGGAGGGGAGGGCCGCTGTTGCTTACAGGTTCTCTTCCTCCAGGAGCTGCACTTTGTTCTGTAGCTCCAGGTTCTGGGCTGTGTACTTCAAGATCCTAGGGGAGTAACCGGGACAGCTTCTAGATCCCTAGTTCAAAAACACTTCCAACAACCTCCCCTTCCCCTTTTACACCCCCTTTTCCTTCCATACCTGCTCTCTAAGCCCCCCACATACACCTTCTTCTTCCTGCGACTCTCTTGAGCAGACTTTTTGTTTCGAATCTTCCTCCGCACTCGCTTGAGAATCTGTTCCTCCTTCTGGGAGAAGACAGGGGGCGGGGCATCAGCAGCTGAGCACTGGACCCAAAGAGTTAGATGGCAAAAGAGTTCAATCATCGGGCCAATAAGCCCTGGGTTTCTGTGTGAACGCCTCAGGAACCAGGTATGAACACCTTTGTGAATAAGCCCAGACCATGTTAACAATTGTTTCATTTTAATCAATTGTATCATTTCTCTCCACTTGATAGTTCTTTAGACCAGCGGTTCTCAACCTATGGGTCGTGACCCGTTGGGGGTCAAACGACCCTTTCACAGGAGCCGCCCGATTCATAACAGTAGCAAAATGATAGTTACAAAGTAGCAACAAAAATAACTTTATGGTTGGGGGGTCACCACAACATGAGGAACTGTATTAAAGGGTGGTAGCATTAGGAAGGTTGAGAACCACTGCTTTATCGTGTGTATATATATATATATACACACACACACACACACACACACACACACATGTTAGCTCCTTCGCCTGGACTCCATCCTGTTAAGATCTGGGCTTAAACAGGAAACTAGGATAGGACCTGGCAAATACAGCTCAGCAAGGCAGTCATGGCTCTTCGGTATTGACCCAGCCTCCAAACCCTTCCTTCAGGAACCATGTCTTAGTGCTGGCCTGCTGGCTGCTGCTGGACTTTTGAGAAATTAAAATTCCCTCTACTTTTCTAAGAATGAATGCTGATTTCATCCCAGTTTCACAGTGCCATCACTCAGTAGATGCAAACACAGGAATTTACATTTATCCTTGTCATGCTGTTTGTTCAGCCTGGGCCTCGATACAACTTTGTTCTACCATGCATCAAGAGGTGGATTACCAAGGAGTCGATGAAATCTAAGTATTCCTCCTGTGCACAAGACCCTGTAGTAATACTGGGCTGACAATTCTGAATCATTTGTCTTCATGAGAACTTTCCAATTTGTTGAAGCATCAGACCTCCCTGAAAGGCAGCATTTTACAGCCAGCATATTAAATACACACCCTAGCAACTCTCTGCTCAGTTCCTCACCTCTAGCCTTTTACAAATTACTGATATAAAACTAACAAGAAGCAAACTGGACTTCCTCATGGGAGCGGAGTTTAAATTGGGAACATCCAGTTTGCAGATGCCGATGGATGACAGTGGAAGGGCAAAATGCATTTGCAGGGTCCCCCCATTGACTACGCCTCCAGGGTACCCCCTCTGAACATACTCCAGGAACGTGACTAGCCTCGCCACCGGACAGAGACCACTGTAAAATCTACTATGGCAGATATATCACTCCATCGCCCTGATGACCCATTCTATTCCACTGAGGTTTTTCTATGCTTCGTCTAGCCATAGTTGTTGACTTTTTGTTTGTTTGTTTCTTGTTTGTGTTTTGTATGACTTTCTGTATATGCATTCCAGGATAGGTAAATCTATAGAGACAGCAACTGGATTGATAATTACCCAGGGGCACAGCAAGGGAGGATGTAGGGAAATGGGGAGCCTAACAATGAGTATGAGGATAAAATGTTCTGAAACTGTGGTGATGACTGCACAAATCCTTATATGACGGAACAATTAAATTGCATGATATGTGAAGTATATGCCAATAAACTATTAAAAAAAAAAAGATTGGCTGCCTTGAGATGCCTCCAGCCTCAGCTCTGTTAATGAGGGCCTTACCTTAGTGAGAGGAAGTGTCTCAGGCAGAGTAAGGCCATCCTTCTCCAAGAGCCTCTTCTCTTCATCTGTCAGCATCAGTCTCTCAGTCTCCTGGGGCAATTGAGGAGCAGAGTTACATGGGGCTGTCAGAAAGGAATGGGGAATCCTGCCCAGACTGTAGCAGTGGAGGAATAATCCTCCTGGAAGGCAAGTACCTGCTCTTCGAGTTCCATCCCCTGCAGTGGGATCGCCTGGGCTTCCTCCTCCTCCTGATAGCTCCCACTGGCTGCAAAGGGAAAATGTGAATAGCCAGGGCTAGGCGCCCTTTCTTCCTCATCAACTTCAGTTATGACGGACTCACCTAAATCTCCGGAGTCATGCTCCTGTGAGAGGGAGTAATTGTGGTCATGATGCACCGGGCACGGGCTGGAGGAGCTGAGGGCGTTCGGCGATGCTGAGGGGCTGAGCAGGGAATTCAGGAAATCCTCCACCTCCCACTCACTCAGTACCTGCACCAGGTTCAAATTCAAGGGCTGTGACCCATCGCCACCGCACCCCCACTCCTGTCCCCAGCTTAGCGCCTCACCAATTCCGAACTCCCACTCACCTCGGAGAGCGGCAACTCCCAGTCCAGAGGGGCCTCCTCGGGCGCCACCCCCAAATCTCCGCTTTCCCCCACTAGAAAACCCAGCAGGTCCTCGTCACCGGGGCTCAGTGCCAGCTCCATATGGGATATCTACGGGGCAGCTGGATAGAAACTCCGGGACACACCCAATCCCAGAACCCCAGGCACGGTCCCCCGCCCCGTGGAAGGTCTCCCACGTCGGTTCTGGCCCCTCTGCGCTCCCTCGCCCTCAGCTTTCACTCTCAGGCCGGACCGCCTCCCACACTCGAGCCTCGTCCACTTCCAACACAACGGAAGCCAGGCGCCTCGCCCACACGGCATTCTGGGACTTGGAGTTCTCGGAAGTGGCCACGGTGCGGCGCCACGTCCCGGGGGTTATGCAAATCGAGGGGCGGGGCCCTCGGCCTCCGCACACCCCGAGGGCGGGAGTTCTGGAGCCCCGCCTTCGCTTGGAGCGAGGAGAGGCCGGCCGCGCACCTAAAAGGGAACTTGGGGCCCGCGGCGAGCGTCTTCCCCGGATTGCACACCCCCTCGCTTCCTGCCGGGGAGGGGCTGCCAGTCTCCGGCGGGCTCCGGAGCATCGAGAGCTGCGACCAGACAGAGTAGCTTCCTGCGGTCCCCACAACCATCGAGCGCGGGTCCAGGGCGCCGCCCGCGGGTGGGGGACATTCCGGGGACGGAAGTGGCCGCGAGAGAGCCTGTCGGCGGGAGGGCGAGGCCGCAGCCCGAGAGCGACCGGGAGCAGGAGCGGGCGAGCGGGCCACAGAGCCGGGCACCTCAGGTAGGCCGGGCTGCGCGCGGCTGGAGCTCCGGGGTGTGGCCGCGAGGCCCGGCCCGGGAAGCGGGCGGGCGGGGCCCCTGTGTCCGGCGTGTCCTGTTTCGGCTCCTGGTAGAGAGGTCAGGGTCCAAAGTAGTTGGACTTGGTCTTCGCGGCTAAGTAGGCCGTTCTGCGGGAGCCCTCGTTCGGCCTGGGGTGGTTTTTCAGGATGGTGAGGCGTGACCACCGTGAAGCGCAGGGCAGGGAACGGTTTGGGGGAGTGGGGGTGGGGTTCGCTGATGGCAGATGCGTGAGTAGGGACGCTTTGGCAAATTTGGGATTAGATGGAGTCGCGGTGGGGTTTCAAGGTGAGCGGTCGCAGTTATCAAACCAGGATCGGTTAGGACCATTTTTGTCGGTAAGGTTTAGATAGCCATTTAATTTGGGGAGGGGGGGGATGGTGGTGGTTGTGGACAGCCTGCCTCAAAGTTCAGAGCTCATGGTCAGGCTAAGGGTCAACAGGGAGAATTGGGTTAGAAAGCCCATCTTAGGGATCATTAGGTCCTTGGCACGATCGGTATTAGGAAATATGCAGTGATGGGGTAGGTCTGTCAGAAATCAAGCTACATGAGAATCTTAGGTTTAAGGCTCACCTTTCCGGCTTAAGGGCTGGAAAACCAGGTCAGGCATTGGGTCTGGCTCGCTGCTGGGAAAGAGAGGAGCGTAGTACAAGCCAGAGTAGGGGATCAGGACCTGGTTAGAGTCAGGGTTGATGTTAGGAATTAGAAGTAGCTTTGGGGGTCATGATGGAGGTCAAGGCTGTCAGTAGTTAGATATTCCTGTTTGGGGGAGAAGATGGCAGGTAGTCACAGAGCCCAGAATGGTGTCAACGTCCTGGGCTGGAGGGCAGGAGAAAGGACTTCAGCTTCGTTAAGTCATTTGCTAAACCCAAGGCTTTCTGAGGCCCGCGCAGCGCACGTCCAGCATTCTTGGACTACGTTCTTTACCAGGTGGGACCTGAGAACATGACAGGGTGCAGGAAATGTACGATGCCTAGTCATACGTAGAGCACTGTCTGGGACTGATGACTAACAGGAAAGCAGACCAAGGAGATACTGATGTCTTGGGAGAAGGGCAAGACTGAACCTCCTGAAAGTCAGCCCCCTGGTCATCTCGTTCGCCTGATATTAAGCCCTCCTCCCCAGCTCCTAGCCTTGCATTCCATACCCTTCCTGCATATCCCCCTGCCTACAACGCCCATGTTCTTCATCTTCTTACCATCTGTTCCCTCCCCACTTGATTCATACATCCTGCCTTAAATTACCCTCACCCAAGCCTGAGCTTTCCCATCGTCTTAAAGCACTCTCTCACCATGTTCACCCACAAACCATCTGGTCATCGAAACAGCCCCCCAACCCAATTCTAAGTAAGCCTCCTGTAATTTCTTGGTCCCATTGCAGAGCCCCTTCCCCCACTCCCCAAGCAGAAAAGAGGAAATGAGACCCAAAGAGGAAACTGGGTCTTGCTGATCCCATGCCCAGCCAGGCCACTGACCACACCCCCATGTCACTCCCAGCCTGACCCAGCTACTGCCCACAGCCCTATCCCATACTCAGCCCACCCAGCCTCTGGATGCAGCCAAGACTTCTCCTTAGCCACCCTTAGCCCTTCTCCTCCCGCACGACCTCATTTAGCCACACACAAGCACGGCTTCATCTCTTCTCAACCCCCTGTGGCCTGTCCTGGCCTCTAAACTCACTCCTCTTTCCCTCCACGTCTATCTTAGCCACAGGCCACATATTCTTCCCTCCCTTCCCCCAGCCTGATCCAATGACTGATCACATACTCATCTTTCCTCTTACCTTCTACACTTCCTTCTGCCCCATCCCCAGTCTGCTGCAGTCACTGACCATCCCCCATCTGTCCCTACCTGGCTATTGACCACATACCTGTCTCCCTTTCCCCACAGCCTCATTCACACATTCCCAGCTCAACCTGATCCATCTCCCCCGTACCTAATAAACTCAAGCTGCTCAGGTTGTTCTAGGTACTAGGTAGCTACTGGTGAGAGGTCGCTATGGGACCCCCAGCCTGACTTTGGGTCCGGCCGGGTCTCTGACGGAACAAGCTTATTGGTTCTTGTCAGTTCTATGTAACAGTTCTACTGAATGGCATCTCCTCTTAACGCTGGCTTCCTTATCTCTCACTTGTGTTAATAATGTATTTCTAATTACTCTAAGATAACAGCCCAAAGTATTTTCTAAAATCCAGTTCTGGTCATGCCCCTTTTCTACTCAGAAGCTTCCCCTTGCGCCTGCTACCCCCCTGTAGGTAAAATACCTCACATTCCTCTCTAGTCCTCCCTGTCTCTCCACCCTAACTCTAACTCCCCCACCACTGCTCCCTTGCAGGTACCCTGTGCTTCAACCAGCCTGCCTGCTCACTGCCCTGAATGCTCCTCCGTGATTTCCTGCCTTTCACCTTTGCTTATGCTAGTCTCTGCCTGGAATGCAACCCCGACTCATCTCCGGCTGGCTGGCGTAGTGGAGCAAGCTTGGCCCTTGGAGCCAGAGACCTGTGTTCGGATCCTGGCTCAACAACTTGTTAGCTGTGTGACTTTGGACAAATACTTTGGAAACGAAAACTCTTTTGAGCCTGTTTCCTACTCTGGCAAAATGGGAAGAATGACACCTACCCTGAGTGAAGGTTCAAATGAAATTATGTATGGAAAGCAGTCAACAGCTTGCCAATAAATGACAGATTGCTATAATTTTTTTTATTCCCCTTATTTTCAGAAAACTAACTTCTAATGACACCTTCCTGGAGGCGTTGGGTTCCCCTTCCCTGGCCTATTGGGATCTCTGCTCTGCACCCACCCCCCAGCTCCTAGCATCTTGCAGTACTCTGCTGGGCTGATTCACTTCTTTCTCCTGGAGGGCAAAGGCTGTCTTACTCATCTTAGTTCTCAGCCTTGGAAGTGGGTGGCCCAGGGCCTTCCCCACAGCAGGCCCCCAAGGAGCACTTGCTGAGTGAATAGAAGGGGGGGTGGGAGGGGAGCAGCCGGCGCTGGTGCTGGAGGCTTTCTTGTGGGGAAGCAGTGTGCCTGGGCCGGTCTCCGTGGGCAGATAAGTGGCTGTGAGGAGGGAAGTGGAGGCTGTGAGGTGGCGATAGCCAGCCTGCCTGCCTGGAGAGAGAGAGGTAGCTTGGTGGGAAGGAGCTTGGGGGCGGGGGGGTGGCCGGCTGACTGTGTACCTTCCAGGAGGAGAAGTGTGTGGGACAGGGGTGTAGGTGGGGAGGGGCTGGGTCTGGGGAGGTCAGGTTCCGACCTTCAGCTGCCCAGTCAGCCCTAAGAGAGCTTCCAGCACCCCAACCAAGGAACCGACCGACCGGATATGTCAGTCTCACCCACGAGCCTCCCCCTCCCCCATGGTTGCGGGCTCAGAGGCCAAATTTGGTAACAGGCTTGAATGTTCCTCCCCAACCCTCTCATTCTCAGGCTGTCTTCAGCTCACCCTCTCCCTTTGTCCCTCTCTGCAGAGCCCAATCTTCCTGCGGCTCCCTTTGGGGATAATGGCTTTGACCGTTCTCGAAACTGGACCCTAAAGCCCTTGTACCCTAAATTCCTTTCCCTCAGTATACTTAAATTCCATTCCTTGCTGGGATTTGACCTCTTGTCCTCCATCACCCTCTCCACACGGCCTCCCCCCTCCCGCCCCCTTGCCCAACTCCTCTGGAATGCATCTCAGGAATGTCTTGAGGGAGGAGGAGTTCCCTGGGAAGGGGGGGGGGGGCTGGTGTTATTATTCCATAAAAAAATGATGGGAAGGGGAGCCCATGTTGAAGACCCTGAGAAAAAACAGGCTAAGTTCTCCCTACTCTCCCAGGCACCCTGTTCCATGCCACACACCCCAATTCCCGCACCCCCCAGCAACCTGTTCTTAGCTCTCTTCTTACTTTGTGAGACTATATGGAGGTCCACACGGGACCAGCCTGGGAGGCATGACTCAAATCCCTTATCGGGGTCTCACCAGAGGTTTCCGTGCTTAAGGAAGAAGGGGGTGTCCCTATGTCCGGAGGAAGTGGGAGAGATGTGTACTTTCAGCTTAGGGTGAAGGACCTTTCAGTCCTGCCCTGGGCTCCTCCAGCTCCTCTGATCCTCCAGCCTCACTCCACTGATCAACGGCCCTTGCCAGGTCTGTTCAGCTGTGGGGAGAGGGACTCCTGGAATGGGGAGGGGGAGCAGAGCTGGAAATGGGGAGACTGAGGGTACTCTCCTGCTTGAGAATGAAGCTAGAGAGTGGCCTATGGTGTCTTCTCTTGAGGTACTAGATATGGGATAGTATACCCCTGACCCGAACCTTTCTGAAGCTTTCTGCCTTCCCAAACCCCACCCCTTCCAACTCCCTGCTTCTCTCCTGCTCTCTCTCCTGACACTCCCATTTCTGCTTCCCAGCCTTTCCCGCACAAAATGCAGTGTGCCTGCACCAGTCCTATAGGACAGAGTAGATGCTGTTCCCTGGGGTTTTCAAAACTGTAAACCTTTTAAGGAAACAAACTGCCGCATCTTCCTTCGGCAGAGCTGCTGGTGGGTTTGAACCACCAACTTTTCAGTCAGCAGTAGAGCACTTGGTCACCGCATTCCCAAGGCTCTTTCTCCTCCCCCCAAACCCAACCCACTGTCATCAATTCAAGGCCTACTCAGAGCGACCCTTACAGGGTGTTTGAGATGCAGTGTTTACTGAAGCAGACCACTTCCTTTTTCTCCCAAAGAGTGGCCGTAGGTTTGAACCTGGAAACTTGTGGTGAACAGCCCAATACTTGTCCCACAGTGCCACCAGAGGGGCTGACATTTTGCCCTGAGGGGAGTGGACAGCTTAGATTTGCTCATTCTCTTAGTTCAAAAGCAGCCAATCCCTGTACCGGGTTGGGTTATATCATCTGCTGCCAGGCAGACTTGTCCTCTTGCCTCCTGTGCACCCCCTGCCATCCTTAGTGGCTCCTCCAGCCCACCCGGAGGGCGTGGTATCCGGAGCCACGCTGACAGGACCATCAGAGGAAACAGCTGAGCTTGTGGAAGGACTAGCTGAAGATTAGAAAGACAGGAAGAGTTGTGATGAGAGCTGTTACCCTGGTCCTGGGAAATAGCTGGGCTGACTGGGAAGGGCTGAGCCCTTGCTCTGACCTGCCTTGAAGCTTTTTTCCCTGAGGGTCTGTCCTCCCCTCTATAAAGATGCGATTGACTAGAGCCCTTTGGACTGGCAATCATAATTCCAGCTTGCTGGTCAGCACAGCCAGATCCAGGACCGAGCTCCTGAAGGAGGCCATCAGATTAGAGGAATGTTCTGGGACGAGAGAAGGCCCAGGTGGTTGGATAGCCAGTCTCGGGTCTCCCTGCCAGACTGGAGAGAGCCTGTTTGCAAGCTTTCAGAGCCCCTGGGATTCTCTGGGGCAGCAGAGAAAGCACAAACGCTGCAAAAGGGAAGGTCACAGGAGTCTGAGTCGGCCGGCCGCTCCTTCTGAAAGCGGAGGGATCCAGTGAGAGAGAGGAGAGGAAGCTCTTGAACCAAGAAAAGACAGGAACAAGGCAGGGGGTTGGGCTGGTGAAGGTGGTGAGCAGAGACAAGGGACACTTGGCAGAAAGGAAGGAAGCGCACATTCCAGTGTAGGGCAGAGCAGTGGCCGCAGAGAGCGCTGTATTTCAGACCTGCAGCGGATGGTACCAGCTCTATGGCCCCTAGCCGCACCACCAGCAGGGGTCTGCCATGTCAACTTGGGGGAGGAGGCTTGGTTTGGGCTCCTGAAAGAACCATGGTGGTGTAGTGGTTAAAGCACTTGGCTGCTGGACAAGGGACTTTGCTTCTGTAAAGATTTACAGCCATCAAGGCAGGGCAGTCTGTTCTGCCCTGAAAGGCTGTACTGGGCTTATTGGCCTTGAAGACCAGTTTCTCTGTCAGATGTCTTAGAAGGGTAGGACTGGTCTAATTGGTATAAATTATCTTAACTTTCATAAAGAATGAAATAAAACAACTACTTCATTGCTATCAGCTTTGGTGAGTCCTATTCAAGAACACCCCTCCCTGGGACTCCCTCTGGGGGCCGGGGGCAGGGGGCTCCTCCCCTCCCCAGAGGGCGTGTTCTGATGCCTGGGTGCCACGGGCCAGGTCTAGGCAGGCTGGAAAGGAGCCGCTGCCACCATGGTTGCACTCTCGCTGAAGATCAGCATTGGAAATGTGGTGAAGACGATGCAGTTTGAGCCCTCCACCATGGTGTACGACGCCTGCCGCATCATTCGAGAGCGCATCCCAGAGGCCCTGGTTGGCCCTCGTGAGTTGGACTGCCCAGGGGGCTAGGGTGGGGGTCCTCGGTCCCTTCTTGTTCCCAGACTGAGCCTTGAGGGGTAACCCTGTTGTCCCCCGGGTCTAATCTCCTCTTGAGTCTGTGTTCCACAGTTCCCTCCCTCCCTCTTTAGCCCTAGGGTCAGGGGACCAACAGAGGCAATAATGGGGCAGCCATTCGCCACACAGGGGTCTTCACGAGTCTGAAGTAACCCATCTTCTCTTTCAGCCAGCGACTTTGGGCTCTTTCTGTCGGATGATGATCCCAAAAAGGGTATATGGCTGGAGGCCGGGAAAGCGCTGGATTACTACATGCTCCGAAATGGAGTGAGTATTACCTCACCAAGGACCAGCCACGTCCCCTTCCATCAACACCCCCGCACCCACCCCCCTCTTTTTCCAGCACCCCCTTCGTGCCTCTGACCCCGCCCCGTGCCTCTGTCACAGGCACGCATGCTTGTAGATGAACTGCCATAACCTCCCTTTCAGTAATCTTCCTCCTCTATGGCCTGTGAAAAGGGAGTGATTGCCCTGCTTCAGGGGGCCCCACCCTCCTTCCCTCGCCCCGCCAGGACACCATGGAGTACAGGAAGAAACAGAGGCCCTTGAAGGTCCGGATGCTTGATGGCACCGTGAAGACCATCATGGTGGATGACTCTAAGACCGTGACCGACATGCTCATGACCATCTGTGCCCGTATCGGTAAGTGCTCTAGGCGGGGCTGGGGACTTGGCAGGGAGGAGACAAGGCTGCAGTGCCTCGGAGGCTACCTGACCCTCCCTCTCTGCAGGCATCACCAATCATGATGAATACTCACTGGTTCGAGAGTTGATGGAAGAGAAGAAGGAGGAGACGACAGGGACCTTACGGAAGGATAAGACACTGCTGCGAGATGAGAAAAAGATGGAGAAACTGAAGCAGAAATTGCACACAGACGATGAGCGTAAGCAAACCCAGGGGGAAAGAGTGCCCCAGAAACACTCCAGGCAGAGAGCCACGTTTCAGCTCATTATTTACTGAGCATCTGCTTTGTGCAAGGCATTCTTTTAGACACTGGGGGTCGCTCAGTAAGTAAAACAAATTCCCCACACTCAGACTGGAATGTCTGGAAAGGAAGGTAATGAAGGAATGAACAGAAAGCCAGAGGCTGGCCACCCTGGGGTCTGGGGTGGGGGTGGGGCTTGGCATTGAAGGGCTGGGCTCTCTGTGCCCCAGTGAACTGGCTGGACCATGGCCGAACCCTGAGGGAGCAAGGAGTGGAGGAGCATGAGACACTTCTGCTGAGGAGGAAGTTCTTCTACTCTGACCAGAATGTCGATTCCCGAGACCCCGTGCAGCTGAACCTTCTTTACGTGCAGGTGGGGCAGGGATGGGCAGCGGGGCAGAAGGGGCCAGGGTTTCTCCCCACGCCCACACGCATCATGTGCCTCCTCTCCGTGTGCTCTGCAGGCTCGAGACGACATTCTGAACGGCTCCCACCCGGTCTCCTTTGACAAGGCCTGTGAGTTTGCTGGCTTCCAATGTCAGATCCAGTTTGGGCCCCACAATGAACAGAAGCACAAGGCCGGCTTCCTCGAGTGAGTGCCCCACGGCCATCCCCTGTGAGGGGCCAGGACTCCTTGCCACAATGACCCCAGCAGATCCTTCTCCATCCCAGGCCTTCTCTCTGGTTTCCTTGTCTGAGGTACCAGGGATTGGCCCACTTGGGTACCACCTGGGCTGCCTTCACTCATTTGTCCTCTCGCTGGTCCCTTGTGGGATATGAGTGTGATCCCAGACCTCTACCCTTGCCCCTACCGCTGAGACCAGCATAAAGCTTTTTGAGATCTCCAGAAGCGCCAGAGGAAACGGTAAAGTTGTCATCCTAGGGAACCTTACTTTCTCAGGTTAAAACGCCTCACAAGTTGCATCCCCTGGCGTTGGTCAGGATGTTGAAGCCCACAGTCGTCACCCGGCTGCACTCTTTCTCTTACTGCCCCAGGGCTAAGCCTCCACCTTCAGTCTCCACCAGGAAAGACACAGGCCGCATTCAAGAGCTAAGCAGAATCATCAGTGTTTGAGAAGACAATCCAGGCTCTATTCCCTCAGACTCTCCCTTTTTCCCAAAGTTACGGCTGTCCAAGACATTGCCTCATCGCCCTAGGCCCACAGATCTCCTGCTGCTATCCACTAATCCTGACCCTCCCTTTTCTGGTCTAGCCTGAAGGACTTCCTGCCTAAGGAGTACGTGAAGCAGAAGGGCGAGCGTAAGATCTTCCAGGTGAGGGGAGGGTGAGCTGGGAACTTGGTGGCCTGTCCCTAGGACTAAACAAATTCCCACCCTCTCCCTACTGCCACCCACCATGCTGTTCTCCCACGCCTCCTGTGCCGAGGAGATGGGGAATGGGCTTTTCTTCTCAGCTCCATTACAGCTTTTGCTGTGGAAGTTAATTCTGTAATGTGTTCTCTCTAATGTGGGGTAACAGTACCTGCCCTGTATAGGATTGGAAAGAGAGTCAAATGAGATCGTATCCAGGAAAGTACTGTGCGGCCTTTGTAAGGCGTCTAGCCTCCTCGTTGACGACTCAGCCCAAAGGCTGTTGGTTGGCCCTTTTTCTCCCGAACCCTCAGAAAGTCTCCATGCTCCTGTGATACCCTGGTGCCTGCGTCATTTCTCAGACCCTGCACTAACCTTCCCTGCATCCCCACGAGAGTACCATGACAGCTAACACCCCAACTGAACACCCGACCCGGGATAGTTTCTCCATATTCTGCTAAGTCCCTCCCCATTGCGTACTGACAGGCACACAAGAACTGTGGGCAGATGAGTGAGATTGAGGCCAAGGTGCGCTATGTGAAGCTTGCCCGTTCCCTCAAGACATACGGTGTTTCCTTCTTCCTGGTTAAGGTGGGTTATGGGCCCTCCTCACAGCCCCCTTTGTTTCCTGCTATGTCCTTTCCTTGGTCTCTGAAAGTCTTCGACCTCAGTCACAGGCATTTCCCTAAGCATCCCCTTGTCTACCTGGCTTGGACCTTATGGGAACCTACCCCATTATCAGTCTTCCTCCGCCACTTCCCTCCCTGCCCTTGGTTTTCCATCCTGTTCCCTTTTCTCTCACCCAGCCTTGTCCTGCGGGAAGCGCAGACACCGTGTATCCCTCTCCTGGCCACCTCAGTTCTTCCTTGTGGTCTAGATCGGATCCGTCCCCTCTCATCCTACCTCTGTGTTGCCTCCAATCCCCGGCTTGTACCGCCAACAACCCCCTCTGCCTCGCAGGAGAAAATGAAAGGGAAGAACAAGCTGGTGCCCAGGCTGCTGGGCATCACTAAGGAGTGTGTGATGCGGGTGGACGAGAAGACCAAGGAGGTGATCCAGGAGTGGAACCTCACCAACATCAAGCGTTGGGCTGCCTCCCCCAAGAGCTTCACCTTGGTGAGTCTGGGAACTGAGAGGAGAAAGGGCTTTGGAGTTTTCGGGAGTGTACAGCAGGAGAGCTCTTGTGCTGAGTGACTCCAGAAAAAAAGGAGACCGTGGGGACGACTCTGGGAGACAGAGCTTGTTAGAGGGAGACCCCCACCAGTGGAACAAGGACACCGGGACGAGACAGGTGATGGGCCTCCTTTAAAGACAGAAGTTAGCCGCCAACTGAGTTCCTAGGAATACTTGAGGGAGAGGGGAGAGGGTGACAGCAGGAAACTCAGCCTGCCCATAGCAGTCATTCTCTGTTGACTGTAGGTGTTATGGATTGAAAGGTGAAATGCCCCAATCAGAGAAAAAGAAATGATCATTTTCCACTTTGGTTTCTGGCACCAGCCCTCAGGTCTGGTCATTTAATGACTCTGTGTGTGTGTGTGTGTGTGTGTGTGTGTGTGTGTGTGTGTGTGTGTGTGTGTGTATGAGTT